AAAAAAAAAAAAAAAAAAAAAAAAAAAAAACAGCAAACAATTAGAAACACCCAAAGCACAGCAACAGAAAAATGTAAATGTATAAAAATGTGCCTCATTAGGAATAGGAAGATGATTTCAAATCATGTAAATTTCTTCCTCATGTAATTAACCAGAAATGTAAAATTTTAAAAATATATAATTATAACTCATTAGATTTAGCACTAAATTTCTGTATCATGCTTTTATCTAAATAAACCACTAAAACCCCATTTAAATACATGCAAAAAATAAATACACATAATTGTTAACATTTGGTTGAGTAACTGACAGACTGCCTTTTATTTTCCAAATTTTCTTCACTGAGAATATCGCTTTTATATATTTTTATTTTAAAAAGTTTATAGAGATTTTAATAACATTCCAAACCTCATAAAGTTCTTTCATTGCTGCCAGTTTAGATTCAAACTTTTCAAGACTCCAGAAAGTTGAGACCCCAAGCTGCAGGTTACGAACTCGAATAGATGTCTCAGAACTACCTTTAACTGATGCATCATGCCTGAAAGAAAATCAAATAAAAATGCTTACTCAAAACACACACTACTGCTCATACTCAGAGTTTTCTGGAGTTGAATAAATCCATCATAATTCAGTCCACTGATTAAATAATGCCATAGGCATTTTTATTTTAGTAATAATCATGTCTAATACATACTACATAAAAATAACTTCTAACATAGAAGCTTTTTAAATAAAATAAAAATCTACAAAAATGTATTTCTTTTAAAAAGTGGAATGCAGGAATGGGAATATAGCTCAGTGGTGCAGCTAGGTTCAATCTTCAGGACCAAAATAAAGGGGAATGCTAATAAATTTTCAAGTCAAAGGAAAAATCAATAAATTCCTAAAACACCTAAAATTATTCTGCCTATAAATATACTTTTATGTTATTTGTTGAAATCTCTTTTATTCCCAAGTAGTGTCACTGGGTCTCATACCAACTCCTTTTTGGACAGGTGCCACAGAAGAGACTAGAAAAACTGAACTTTTTTTGTTTTAACATCATATGCCAGCCAACTGGTTTAAAACAAAGAACTGCTCTATAATCAGGATAATTAACTACTCACCTGCCAAAAACATAGTATTTTTTTAACTTGCTGCTGATGGTATTGGCTTCCTGAATCATCATTGAGACTTTCATGGAGCTCCAACTTGGCTGAACTAATACAAAACATACAAAAGAGATTAAAAATATGTATATTACCACTAACATACATCACAAGACAGAACAATTCGGGAAAAAAATTATTTTTTTTTTCCTTTTGAGACAGGGTTTTACTATTCAGTTCAGGCTGGCCTTGACCTCAGTTTATAGTCCAGGCTGGCCTCAAACTTGCAGCAATCCTCCTGCCTCAGCCTGTTGAGTGCTGGGATTACAGGTATGTGCCACCATGCCTGGCCCAGAAAAAAATGATTTTAAAAGAATGGTTTAACTCTATATCCCAGAAACACAAGAGTGATAATTGAGCAATTTTTTCCACCCTCTTTGTGACGATAAAATACTCTTCATATGAAATGAGTTCTCTCATTTGGAGAGATAGTACAAAACTGCAATTGATATCAAGAGGATAAGGGTATTCTAAGAGAGGAAACTCCAAAGACAATGCTTTTTTAACATACTTAAAGATGTTTTTTCTAACATCTTTTTTCTTTTTTTTTTCTAATTTCTAATACAGACTTGCTTATACTAGAAGCATATCCCTTTTTTTAAAATTTGGCCAACAGGTATTTTGCAAGACATAAAAATAAAATGGTAACAAGGCATGGTGGCACATGCCTGTAATGCTAGCACTCTGGAGTCTGAGGCAGAAGGATTTCAAGTTTCAAGGCCAGCAGTGGGCTACATAATGAGTTCAAGGCCAGCCTGGACTACAACACAAAAACCTGTCTTAAATAATGAGGGGGAGGGAGAGGAAGAGAGAGGAGGGGAGGATGAAAGAAAGACAGGAAAGGACAGAGAAGAGGAGAGGACAATTTAAAATTCTACTTTCCTAGTTTAAATGTAAGATTTTTGGTGGACTTTAGGGGGTGTTTGTCCGTTTGTTTGTAAAAGGTGCTGTTTATTTGCAGTGCTGGAGATTGCATTCTATGTCCTTGCACACACTAAGCACTTATTCACTCTACCACTGAGCTACATCCTTAGCTCTTAAATTTAATATTTTATCATAAATAAAATTCTGCATTGTTGAGTCAAGCTTAAAATTAGTGTTCCATTAAAAATATTTTTGGGAAAGGATCTCATTATTCAAATGGGTAAAAGAAACATGTATTCATTAGGTACTATTCTAGGCCCTGAGAAAAATAAAACATTGTATGAATAGAAAGTATTTATCTCCTGCAACAGATAGAACAGTACTAATATTTTCAAAGTTATTTTAAAATATTAGTTATAGTGCGAGTACAACGTAACTACCAAGTACTCCTGGAAAATAAGTGAATCGGAATCCGTCAGGCCTGAGGATCTAACTCACCCTTTCTAGAGAATACAGAGGCAGAGGAACCTATGGAATAACAAAATGGAGACACAGGCAGCCCAATCCAGAATCTGGGAAACTATAGGACAAAGTATTTGACTCTCTCAAAAAATATGACAGAAAGAAGAGCTAACTGGCGGACAAAAGAAATGCTGTATAAAAGCCAGGCCGAGCCATGTGTGGTGGTGCCTGTGTGTAACCCCAGCAGACTAAGGCAGAAGGAAAACAAATTAAGCCACGCTTCAACAATCAGTAACAGCAACACCCTTATTCAAAATAAGACAAATGAAACAGGGCCCGAGCTCTAGCTCATGCAGTGGCCCTGGGTTCAATCTCCCATACTGCCAGCTAGCTACTCTCTAGATAAACATATACATTCATACATACCAAGTGGGCTTGGTGGTACATACCTGTGATCCCAGCCACTCAAAGGCTGAGGCAGGAGGATTGTAAGTTCAAGCCCACATTGGGAAACTTAGTGAGATCCCATTCAAACTAAAATAAAAAAGACTGTGATATAACTCAGAGGCTAAGGGCTTGCCCAGCATGCATCCGGCCCTTGGGTTCATCCCCAGTACAGGGTGAAATGGGGGGCACAGGTACCTAACAAAACGTATGGGTCTTGTTTGTATCCTGATTCAAACGAACTAAACACGGAAGAAATATTTATGAAACAATCCAGAAAATGTGTTGGCTTTTTTGTTCTTTAGAAAGCAATTTGTTCTGTTGCCTTGGCTGGTGCCAAACTTGGCCCCCCTCAGCTTCTCAAGTAGCTGGAGCCACTGCACCTGGCTCAAGGAAATTTAAATATTGATTAGATATTTGATGAGTGTAGAGATTATGAATATTTTTAGGTATGATAATAATATCATGGTTATGTTTAAAAGAGTGACAGGAAAAGAGAGAGAGGAAAAGAATTTTTATCTAATTTAGAGAGTCAGTGATGAACACCTTCAAATGACGTGATGTCTAGGACTTGATTTAGAACAGTCCAGAGAAGCAAAGTGATTGAGAATAAGCACAAGGTTAAACATGTATTGATAAGTGCATGAGGGTTTACTGTAATAACCTTTCCATTTTTATAGTTTCTTTGAAACTTTTCATCATGAAAAAAATTTACATTAAAAAACACGTGCTGTGTTCTATATTGAAATATATCCTCAAAATGCGCAAGCAAATGTCTTCCAGGACTTGACAGCTTCCCTAGTGAATTCTACCAAGGGCTTAAAAAAGAATTAATGCTAAGCCTTCTCAACTCTTCCAAAAAATTGAAGAAGTAGGAACACTTTCAATTTATTTTATGAGACCAGTATTATCCTTACTAAACAGGAACATTACAAAAAAAAAAAAAAAAAGAAATTAGAGGTCAATATCCCTGATGAATAAAGATGCCACAAAACCTCAAGAAAAAACTAGCAAACCAAATGCAATACCATATTAAAGGGACCATACAGTATGACCAAGTGGGATTTATTTCTGGGATGCAAGCAAGGATGATTCAATATATGCAAATCACAATGTGATATAACACATTCACAGAACAGAGATTAAAAACTGTAAGATCATCTCAATAGGTGCAAACAAAAGTATTTGACGAAATCCAACATTCTTTTATGATTAAGACGCTCAAAAAATTAAGTGTAGAAAGAATGTATCTCAACATAATAAAGGTCATATATGACACAGCTAACTTTTCCAGTGATGTAAAGAATGCTTTTCCTCTAAGATCACGAACAAGACAAGGATGCCCCTCTTACCACTTTTCTTCAACACAGTGCTAGAATTCCTAGCCAGAGAATTTTAATAAGAAAAATAAATAAAGGTATCCAAATTGGAAAAGAGGCAAGTAAAATTGTCTCTGTTTATAAAGAGTATGACCTCATATACAATGCTGAAGACTTCACTAAGACCTGTTAAACCTAATAAATTCAGTAAAGCACAATCAACATACCAAAATCAATTGTGTTTCTATACTCTAACAATGAAATTATCTGAAAAAAATTATGAAAACTATCCCATTTATAATAGCACAAATATAACAAAATATTTACGAAGAAATTTAAGGAGATAAAAGCTTTATACACTGAAAACTATAAAACACTAACAAAAGAACTTAAAAAGAAAAATAAATAGAAAGAGAACATGTGTCCATGGATTGGAAGAATTAATATTGTTAAAATGTCTATATTACCCTAAATGATATTACAGATTCAGTGCAATACCTATCAAAATTTCAATTTTTCACAGAAATAGAAAAGGTAATCCTTAAATCCATATAGAATCACCACAGACTTGGAAAAACTAAAGCAGTCTTCAAAAAAAGAACAAAACTGGAGGAATCATACTACTGCCTGATTTCAACCTATACTACAAAGCTATGGTAATCAAAACAGCATGGTACTGGTATAAAAACAGACATATAGAATAACTAAACAGAATAGAAAACCCAGAAATAAATCCAGGCATTTATGGTCACTTGAACACATCACCCAATAAGGAAAGCACAGTTCTTTCAATAAATGGCGTTGGAAACCTGAATAATCACATGCAGAATTAAATCAGACCCTTATATCACACCATATAAAAAAACTTTAAAAATAGATTAAAGATTTAAACATAAAACCTGAAATTTAATATTATTAGAAGAAAACAGAAGGAAAAGTTCCTTGATAACAGTTCGACCAAAAATTATTTTGGATATGATCACATCAGCACAGCCAACAAGAGCAAAATTAAACAAACAGGACTGCATCACACTAAAAAACAGTTTCTGCACATCAACGGAAACAGAAGCTGGGTGTGGTGGCACACGCCTGTAATTCCAGCCCTCGGGAGGCTGAGGCAGGAGGATTGCTGTGAGTTCGAGAGGAGCCTGGGCTACAAAGTGTGCTCAAGGCCAGCCTGAACTGCACAGCAAGACCCAGTCTCAAAAAGGCAAAAGAAAAAAAAAAAAAAAACAAAACAAAGGAAACAATCAGTGGAGCAAACAGACAGCCTACAAAATGGGAGAACATATTTGCAAATAATATATATGATAAAAGATAGATATTCAAAATATGTGTAAGGAACTCAATAGCAAGAAAATCCTAATTAAAAATGAGAAGAAAAAAACTCAAGAAACATTTCTCAAAAGAAGACATTCTAATGAATGATAAGGTGTGCAACATCACTAATCGTCAGAGAAATGGAGATCATGATGACAATAGGCGCTAATTTTATTTTGCTTAATTACAAACGCAAAATTCCACTTGTGAAGACTCTGCCCTCATGATACCTACAAAAGGCCCTACCTTCCAATACCACTACACTGGGGGCTAGAATTTCAACATGAATTTGGAGGAGACACAAACACTCAGTCTACAGTACAGTGCTAATACAACTGAATATCCTGAAAACTAAACATTCTAAAAACAACCATTCATAAAAACTTATTTACATACAGAAAAATCAGCAACATCTAAAAGAAATCATATATAAAGGCAAATAATCAACACTGTAGTAATTATATATAAGAACGTACCTAAATTTAGAAAAGGTCTGTTAAACATATACTCACTTGTAAAAGTTTTACCCCTATTATTCCGACTCTGCTGTAAAAGTTGTACTTCTTTAGCAATTTTTTGCTTTTCAGTTTCTAAAGCTTCCAGAATTTTTGCATGACGGATGCTGTGGTCTTCTAAAGCCTAATTGGTATTTATTTATACAGACACATACATAAGGATGCAAAGAGAAAAATCGCAAAATCAGATTCAGGTAATAGTTATGTTAAATGATATCACGATAGTAACTATTTCACTATTTACATATATGGATCCCATATCATTTTGCATACCCTAGTTTCACACAATAAAATCAATTTTTAAAAAACTACATTGATGATGGTAGCACACTATTATTAGACCTCATCTTACATTATTGTTATTATGCACAAATGGTTAACATGTTTTATTAAACATAAAAGGCCTACAAAATGATTTATAAAATGTCTTAATAATGTGATTTTAGTCACAATAAAATCAGAAGGAATTTTAGAGGGAACAATCTATTTCTTCCAGACCCAGAATAGCAAAAGTAATCCTGGGTAAAAACAGCAAAGCAAGAGGTCTCACAATCCCAGATTTGAAGTTACATTATGAAGCTACAGTGATAAAAACATGGTACCAGCACAAAAACAGACATAAGGATCAATGGAACACAAGAGAGGATGCACAAATAACACCGAGCACATTCAACAACTTGATTTTTGACAAGGGAGTAAAGAACACATACTGGATGAAAGTTAATATTTTTTAAAAATGGTGTTGGGAAAATTGACTATCTGCATGCAGAATATTGAATCTAGACCTGTATCTCTCACCATGTACTAAAATACAATCAAAATGGATCAAGAATCTAAATGTTAAAACAGAAACACTTAACCTGATGGCAGATAAAATAGGTAAAACCCTTGAAGTCGTAGGCAAAGCCACTACTTTTGGAACAGAACCTTACTTGCACAGGAAATAGTACTGAGAATCAACAAATGGGATTATATCAAATTAAAAGGCTTCTGTACAGCAAAAGAAACAACCAATAGAGCAAAAAGACAACCTAATGTATGGAAAAAAAATTTTGCCAGCTATTCTTCAGATAGAGGACTAATATCTAGACTATATAAAGAACTCAAAAAACTTAGAATCCCCAACCAAAATAACAGACCCAATAAAAGAACAGGCAAGTGAAATGAACAGTTCACAGAAGTATAAATGGCAAATAAGCATATAAAAAGTGCTCAATTTTGTTGGTCATTAGAAAAATACAAATTAAACAACACAGAAATTCCACCTGACTCCAGAAAGAATAGCCATAATTAAGAAATCGAATAATAACAAACGTTGGCAAGGATGTGGGTAAAAAGAAACCCTTTTACATTGCTGGTGGGAATATAAACTAGTACAACCACTATGGAAATCAACAAGGAGACTCTGGAAAAACTGAAACTAAAAACTCTATTTGCCCCAGATATTCCCCTTCATGGTTATTTTACTGGAAGAGTTAAAAGCATTATTTTGTAGAGATACATGCATATTCATGTTCCTAGCAGAATAATTCATAATAGGTAAATCTTGGTAGCTGCCTATATATCCTATCAACAGATGAATGAATAAAGAAAATGCGGTATTTGTACACAACGGAGTACTACTCTGTCATAAAGAAAGATAACTTGAGTCATCTGTAGGAAAATGAATGCACCTTCAGTCCATTATGTTAATTGAAATAAATCAGACACACAAACTTAAATAGCATATGGTTTCTCTCATACAAAAAACCCAAAATAGGGGGCTGGGGATTTAGCTCAGCAGCACAGCACCTGCCTGGCAAGCACGAGGTCGTGAGTTTGATTCCCAGTACTGGGAAAAAACAAACAAACAAACAAAAACCCAAAATATAAATAAAGAGCAAAATAAAAGATAATAGGAAGTAGGGAGATAGATCTTTCTCAAAGGGGATCAAGAGATGGAGGGAGGGGCAGTAGGGGAGGAAAAGGGGGTGAGGAAACTAGGCTGTGGGATGCACCAACTCCACACAAGGAGTGTACACATCATGTACTACAAATATGCACTAATAAAAAAAAACTTAAAACATTTTAAAAATAAGTTTTCTTCCCATTAATATGAAGTAAAGAACCTTTAGAGAAAAATAAGACAGAACTGCTCAAAAAGGATACACTAAAGAACATTTATTGACTAAATTAAGACACCCAAAAAAAGTTTGACACAAATAAGTATTACAATACCCCACTAATACTGTTTTTTAAGATTTAAACAGCTCATTTTTCTGCTAAAACTCTGAGGTGGTTTGTGTCAAAGTAGACTAGCAATGCTAGCACTATATTATATTATCAGTACTCTGGAATTACTAGGAGCACTTTCTTCTACCCTTACCTTCATCTCTGATCTCCCTCAAGCCACAAACTTGGAAAAAAGCGAAATAAAATTGTCATTTAAGAGTAACACCTTTAGATTAAGATAGAAAGCATCAAAGCAAAGATTAAAACAGTGGCCCTCACACTTGAACATTATCAGCATCTTCTGCACGGCTTGTTGAGGCAGACTCTGGGCCCCATCCCAGGGTTTCTGACTCAGTGGCTCTGGAATGATCTGGGAACCTGCATTTCTAACAGTTCTGATGGTGCTGATGCTGCTGGTCAGGGACCACACTTTGAGAACCACTAACATAAAGAATGGCTAAAAAAAGTGGTCAGGTAACTAAAGATACTCACATTCAGGATGTACCTTCAATCTTGTGAAACTGATTAGTGTGAATCAGCCCTGGAAAGCTACCTCTGTCCTCACTGAGATGACAGAAGTAGGTACCTGAGCTCATAAGACTGAGGTACTGAACGCCACACTGAGTTCTCTTAGGAAAAGCCTACTTGCTGCTCATTCATAGGCCAATAATGACGCACTCTGACACCAGGGTATGACCCAAGACAAGCTATGCCTTTTCTACTACGACAAATTGTACCCTGGTGCCATTTCACTTATTTACATTATTTGGCATGACAGAAGATAAGACAGTAGTAGATGCACAAACAAGAAAAGCAGAATGAAACCATCTAGAAATAAGAGTTCATTTCTTCCTAAATATCTTTACGCTGATGAGTAGTTCTGCGAGCAATACCGGGATATAAGCTTCATGCAAGAACATTTCTCATTTAGAGACTTGGCCTTGGCTCATTTCTATCAGGACACCATAATGCTTAAAAAAATTTTTTTTGTTTTCACCCTTTTGGCAGAATGGAAGAAACAAGCTATAAAATGATATTACCTGCTTTGTAGCCAAAGTTTCCATTTCTAATCGCTTTTTATTGACATACACTTCCTGTTCAAGATGCAGCTTTGTCTTTTCTAATTCCTCAATTTTGTGACTAGCCTTTTGGTTACTTATTTCCTGCATTTTCTTCCTTTGAGATTCTTCTCTCTTTGGACAACATTAATACAAAAGTGAGGCAAAAATGCAGAGCAATTTTTAAAAAGTAATACCCCTCAAAATATAAATCTCTTCCTTAAATCAATGCACAAGAAATCACTAATAGAAGAACTGCTCTATCGCTTCTCCACTTGATTCGGGCTAACTCATCTAACAAAAATAAATATCACTAGTCAAACTTTTTTTGAGTACTCTTCTCTAAAATGGATTCCTAGGAATGGATGACTGCCAGTAAAAGAGAGGAGCCCCTCTATTTCCTTCCCCTTTCAGTAGCCATAGTCCACCGCCAACTTGCTTCTCAAACTAAAATTAAGGAGGGCCAAAATTCACTGTGGCTCTCCCTGCCTAAATCTCTGACAGTCTTCACTTTCTCACGAGGTCACAATTGGTGTCCAGTCAACACACTTGGGCTGCACTGTCAAGAGGTAAAAGGCCAATTCTGCACGTTACCAGTTCTGCTTCTAGTGCTTGTATTTTGCTTTCATATGCAGCTTTTTGAGAAGAAAGTTCTTGCTGAGCCATTTCTTTTGCAATTTGGATTCCTTGCATCATTTCTTCCTTTGCCTTCAACTGTGCCTCTTTTATTTCTGCCTCAAGTCTACACAGAAGCAAGATAGTGACAGGTTATATTGTAATTCCATATGTACCAAAACAGCTGCTAGCCACACTAAAATGTTTTCTATGGAACATACCTTTACATTTTAATTTCTGACATTCTATCAAGACTGTTCTTAAAATTGTCATTGGTTCTAATTGTTTACACCAAAAATATAACTGAATGAAAATATACTTAGTTGCAACTTACTCTTGTAGATGTCTGATATTTAAATGAATACATTTTTCTAATGCTTAAGAAAATAAATTATATAAACATTACAGTAAATATTACAGTTAACAATATAGTACATAAAAATAAGGGTATGATATATTCAAATCACAATGGTTAGAGAAAACACTATACTTTGTATGTCAATAACTACTGCATTTGGGTCACAGATTAAGAAAATACTGAAATGACTTTAAAAGTACATTATATAAGAGCTGATAATGCTTGTAGCATATTTTCAACTTCTATAATAATTTGACAACTGCCAAGCCAAAACATTAATCAGCTTTATCACTTTCTCAATATAAAGGAGAAAAGGCATTTACAATTACAGGTAACAAAATAGCTTCTTCCTCTCCAATAAAAATCAATGTTTTAGCACTGCACTGCATAGAAATTTGCATTCCCAATTTTAAGAAAGAGTAAGAATGTTATAAGAAAGATGATAGTGGTTACCATGGCTAGGAAAATAGGAGAATGAGGCGCTATTGCTTCACGAGTGTAAGTTTAGTTTGGGATGATGAAAAGTACATAGTGCTGATGGCAGCACAAAAATATGAAGGTATTAAATGCCACTGAACTGCATAAAATGGTACATTTTCAGGCTTTTTAAAAGATGATCCAACATGGTACACTTGTTCTTCATTCCTCCTTCTCTTTAGTCAACATGTCTTGCTGATTTTTATTTCCTTTATAATTCTCTCCTATCCAATTACATTATACTTATCTTTCTTCCCTAGTTTCTTAATTGCATTCACAGCTTGTACATTTGCTCTCTCTCTAATCCCTCCTCCAGACTGGGCTCATGGTGATCTCTCTAAAAATGTGCCACAATGATGAGTGTGTCATGCCTGCTTAAAATTCCTTCAAGATAAAGTCTACAATCTTTAGTATTTATTTTGTGTATCTGCCATTCAGCTTATAAGGATATTGCTTAAGGCAGAGATCCTACAACATTGCACGAACTAAAACTGGGGCAAGAATAGAAACAAATATACATTCCTTCACTCTTTCCCAGGGTAACTTCTAACACCTCTTTGGACTCTGCTACAGGGACATCTCATACTCTATAAACCTTCACTGACTCCTGGTGGGGATCAGGTGTCACCTAAGAAGATTCCACATCACCCAGTACAGGACTCTGACAGCTCCACGAGATGATGAATTCCTCCAGGGTAGGGACTAAGTTTTAATTACTATTATTTTTTGTATCCCCAGCAACTGGTACAGTGACAGACACATATTAACTGTTCAATAAATGCTTGTTGAATCAATGAATACACCATGAGAAAAAAAAATCATATCATTAGAAACCAAAACAGTTAACTACTGGAGCCTCGTACAATGTGATTGATTAACTCTGTTACACGTTTCTCTCAGATACTTACGCTTTCATATTCAACAATAATACTCACTGCGATCTCTGTGCCATGAGTAACTCATTTTTGGCAAATTCAAAGTCTTTAGGACCCTCGCTTATAAAAGTATCTCTACTAGATGGCCTTTTCCCTTTCTGGACTTCAACTGGGTGATTAAATCTAAAATAATGATCTCCACCAAGAATCACCCGATCACCCTGAAGCACACAAAAAAATTTACCACTTGAGGTGAGTCTGAACCAAAAAAATGACATGAGAAAAATCACTGTGTTGAACAATTCAAAATAATGTTACATTACTAATAATAAGCATAAAAATCATAGCAACCACCATTACTTTCTATATGCCAAACACTGTGCTAAATATTATATCTATAATCTCATTATATCTCACAACAACTCCATGAGATACATATTATCTCAATTCTAGGAAAGGGAAAACTGAAAAGCACAGACTTTAATAACATTAGACATTCATTGAGAGCTTACTAATTTCAGGCAATGATTTAAAACCTACACACAAATAATTTTATTTAATCCTTACTACCCCTACCCTCACTAATAAAGAATAATTATATGTTTTGGTTTGCCTCCAACAGACTAGTTTATGCCTGTTCTCCTCATATATTTAATAATGCTCTAAAAAGTGTCCTGAATGGGTGATATTCAATTACCTAGTTGCCAAATGTCATATAGTAAATGGTGGAGGCAAGATTTCAACCCCACCTGGCCAGACTGTAAAGCCACATAATGGTGCTGCCAAAGGTCAGCTCTGTAGTCACTGGTTCACAATAATATAACTTTTGACTTTGTACAAAGAAAGGCAAATAATGAATTCATAGGAACTAAAATTTTTGAAATGGAAAGTTTTTAATCCAGTTCAACTCCCTTATCTTACAGAATAGCAAACTAAGACTTAAAGAAATTGAATGACTTGCCCAAAATGAGTTTCTTATATTGTGACACCTGTCCACTTACATGATGCAACACTGTGGGTTCCAAAATATGTTTCCCATTCACATATGTCTTTGCTTCAGCAACTGGGATAATACTCACTGTCCCTCCAAAATTTCTGACAGTACTGTTAAAATAAGAAGCACATTGTTACCATCACAGGATACTCTAAAAAGTAAGAAAAAGGCAATATAAGGTAATACTCCCCGGGTTATCCTTTCGATGTTTAGATCAATTTGTAGCAACAACAACAAAAATTATTTTATTTTCCACAACAAGATATTGAAGTCTGGTGAATACAGCATGACCTCACTGGCAATTCCATCCAATGGTGGTGGGAAGAATTTCTACTCTGTGTATTTTGATTATAACTTCTAAATACAAATCAAAAACCTTACCCCAAAATGGAAAAAAAAAAAAAATACACAGAAAAACTCTTGAGGAAAAAACATTAAAATATTGATTTAGGTTTCTTATGAGTAGAACAGTTTTAAATGCTTTCATTTTTCTAAGTTTCTAGTTTTAAAAATGAGCCCTACAATAACATTTTTCCTCCATGAAAAGTGAGGTAATACCAAGGAAGGAGAAGTAGAGATAAAAGCATACTCTTAATCTAATTGAATGGACCCTGACTATAAGATGACACTGGAAAATCAGCTATACATGCGGCATGTTACACATGGAGTTTTACTGAAAGAATAAGAGAGATTCCAAAGTGCAATTCATCTTGGGACTAACTATACAGAAAGAGAAAACTGCAGCAAAAGCTGAGTCTTAACCAAAGACCTCTTGCCATATCTTGGTTAGGCTTCAAGATATGTATTTAGAGAAAAATAACTCAATTAACATATCTAGAGAAGAAGAATCGTGGAAAAAATAGTATATCTACACTTCGGCAGTCTATCCTTCTCACCAGTCCAGGATCTTACCCAGGAAAAGAATTATACAATGTCTACTTGTTCTCATCCCTTTCCTCTCCTACTTCTAGCTACTCTATCTTCGAAATTCCATGGCCTAGCATTCTGGACCCCACATTGTCTGGCTTCAACCACTAATCTCCCTTATCTGCCACTATTTCCCCACAAGAACTCCACCTCACATCAATCAACCACAGTAGTACCCTGAACTTGCCATAACATGCGCTTCCCTCCTTCCTTTGTGTCACTCCTTCAACATAGGATGTCCTTACCCCTATCTCCATCATCCTTCCAAGCTCAGCTTATCTGGTAGAATCCTTGAAGAGCTCTTCATCAGAACTAAGCTAGAAGTGAATTCTAGTACGCAGTACTCATCTAACACTTGATATACACATTAATGAGTTGTATATTACTGAAATCTTTTATTCATTGAGCCCCTACTCCAGATACATGTCACAACAAAAGCAGACATGAAACCAGCTCTCATGAAGTTTATGGTATAGTAAGAAAAACATTGGTGAGTGTACTAAAAAGGGAAGTATAGAGTTCAAGGCAAGCAAGGACCTTTCTAGTCACTTACTGGACTCAATTCTTTCGGGACATGTTCTGTATCTTTAGGGTTAAGGTTATGATTAGAGTTGTTACAGTTAGGATGGTTAGGGTTAGGGTGAGATATCCCTTGCGCATAGATAAGGAAAACCAACATATTGAAAATGGCCATATTTCCAAAATTTTTATACAGATTGAATGCAATTCCAATCAAAATACCATTAGCATACCTCACAGAAATAGAGAAAAAATTCCTAAAATTCATTTGGAACCAGAAGAAAACTAGAATAGCAAAACCAATTCTGGGCAACAAAGGGAAGGCAGAGGGCATCACAATCCCTGACATGAAATTATACTACAAAACTACTGTGATAAAATCAGCATGGTACTGGCAAAAAACTGACCAGAGGATCAATGGAACAGATTAGAAGATGCAGAAACAACTCCAAACACACTCAGCCACCTTATCTTTGACAAAGGGGCCAAACACATACACTGGAAGAAAGACAGCCTCTTTAAAAAATGGTGTTTGAAAAACTGTCTTTCCACATGCCAAAAATGAAACCTAGACCCATGTGTATCACCATGCACTAAACTAAAATCAAAATGGATCAATGATCTAAATATCAAAACAGAAACACTAAGTCTTCAGGAAGAGAAAATAGGCAGAACTTTTGAAGCTATAAATTTCATGAACAAAACCCTGATTCCATAGGAAATAATACAAAGAATCAAAACTTGAATCTCATCCTATTAAAAAGCTTTTGCACAGCAAAAGAAATTACCAACAGAGTGAAAAAACAACCCACAGAATGGGAAAAAATTTTAGTCAGTTGTTCCTCAGACAAAGGATTAATACCATATACAGGTACAAACTCTCTATGATGATTATGATTATTATGAATATCTAAAATGTACTAATAAATTTAATTAAGAAAGATATGGAAGTCTAATGAAAATAAATAGGCACCCCTACTTTTAGAAGAGTAACATACCAGTGATCATCAGCGATTAGTACCCCAGATAACTGAATGTCATGGCTTGAATTTGGTTTATTCTTTCCAACTGTAGTTGTTCCTTCTTTTATCATATATAGTAGCATCTCAGATAGTTGTGGATCCTCATTCAGATTAACAAGGTTTGGCAAACGGTTGTCCATCTGAAATGTAATTCCTGCTTTCTGGTAAAAGTAAGAAAAAAATTAATCTGAACAACAACATGAAATTATTAAATTCATTTAAAACAGTCTACATTACATATTAGAATGATTTTCTATGTCTCAATAAATTAAAGGTTTCTTGGGAAGAGGGTTGTAGTTCAGTGGCAGAGTGTGTGCTTGACAGGCATGAGACCCTGGATTCAACTCTCAGCATCAAAGAAACAAACAATTACCACCATTCTCTTAGACTCTTAAAGTTCTGCTGATCTGTCTTTGATCTTCATCAGCTTTAATCCACTCATATCAACCCACCATCAACAGACTGCATCTATTCTTACTGACCAATTGACGGAATAATTCTTTTTCTTGCATTTTTACTCTCATCACCTTAATTCTGGCCCTTGGTAACTCTCACCGGAACTACTGCTGCAGCAGCTTCCTGTGTCACCCTGCCAACAATTTCTTCTATTTTTAATTCATTTTATTTTTTTAAATTTTTAATTCATTTTAAATACTGTATAGATTAATCCTCTTAAAAAGGTACTCTGAAAATGTCAATTCCTTGACCAAACACTTTCAAAGTCTTCCCACTCCTATGGGATAAAACTTAAATTACTTGGTCTGCAAATCAAGTCCTAATAAACAAATCATAATATATGTTTCCAATTGTATGGCCTTATGACCTCAAATAAACAGCTTGTCACAATAATACTAATTCACACTCTTCTGAGGATACATTAAACTTTCCCATATTTATTCTCATAAATGTTTCCTTCCTAGAAAGCTCCCTTCTTTATCTCCACTTATCAAAATCTTACCCAAACTTCAAAGCCCACCTCAAATGCTACCTTTTCTAAGAGTATATGGTAAAAAAACCTGGCCATTCCCAAGCTTTTCCTCCTTTCTCCAAAACAGTACTCCTCTACCAATCATTTGAAATATGTTTCTGACTACCACTATCTTTGTTCTTGACTTGTCTTCCTCAATATGCTTTACAATTTTATTCCATAAAAGAGTTTTAATTCCTATAAAAATATTCAAGCACTTTCCATCCTTTGAACAAACAGAAACAAACAAGCTGAGCCCAGTAGCACACACCTATAATCCTAGCAATATGGAAAGCTCAGGTCAGAGAATCACAAGCTCGAGTCCAGCCTGAGCAATTTAGCAAAACCCTGTCTCAAAATATAAAATGAAAAGAGCTGGGGACGTAGCTCAGTCAGACTGGGCTCAATCCCCAGCAGCACAAAAAAGAAAACACAAAAAACCCCCCAAACTTGCCTTCAATCTTACAGTCCCTCTTCTCAACTTTTTAAAATTTGCATCACCAAATACTGTGGCTCTCCCTCCATCTGTCACCCTTTAACCCATTGTCATATGGTTTCTTTCTCCACCACTACAAAGACTTCATAATTTCACAGAGCAGTGCTCATATTTCTGAAACCTAGAAGTCATTCTTGACTTTTCATTTTTCTCAATACCCCTATCTAAAAACAACTCCTTATCCTATCAATTTTACCTCCCTTCTCTTTCTTTAATCTAACTTCTTCACCACCCATTCCTATGGCTACTACCTTACTCCAAGGTCTCATTCTCTCTTGCTTGCAACCACATCAATAACTTTCTAATACTTTCCCTGTCATCAACAGTTTTTCCTTCCTCAAATCCACCTTCCACACTATTGCCAGAAGAATCTTTTGAAAACAGAGCCTGCTCATGTCAGTCCTCTTCCACACACAAGTCTCTCCCAACCCCCTAAGTTTAAGTTCCACACCACATCATCATCTGAGTCTTACATCTTCCAGTGCCATCTCTGTACCAGCCTTAATTTCCAGTGACATGAAACCTCTTAATTCTTTGGCCATCCAAGCTGTGTTGTACCTCCATACTTTTAATCATGACATTCCTTCACTTAGAATTTTGACTTTGCTAGCAAATTCCTAACCATGGTACAAAACTTTGCTTAGTCTTTCTCTTTGAAGTCCTCCTTGCTAACTATTCTATTCAATTCAAAGTTATTTTTTCCTACCTCTCTCTTGCTTTTCTTTTACATACTTTTCATTGCATTAGAATGAACCATAAGAAATGGCCAGTGTTCATCCCCTTTTTTGCCTAAATAAAAGACAGTCATACAGTTCCATCTAATCAAATCATATCACATTTCAGTCTTCTGATTATTAGTGGTCTGAGCATTAGAACTTTGATATTCACCTTGGCCTCCCCTTCTTTCTGGCACAACATACCTTTACTAAATATTTATGGAAGCAAATATCAAGACAGTTTGTTTACATTTTAACTTTCCAACCAGCTTATAGACTAGAAGTATTCACAACCTTGCTATTGACAATTCTTTATAACTCCTTATAGTATTGTTTTGTACAGAGTTGGTATACAATAAATATCTGCAAAATTTAATATACATATTAGCATATTTCTTATTTCCAAATTAATTTAGAAAGTTAAAATGATACCTGTAACTCCTTTGTTTCTTGACGTTTCCTTTTTTCAGCTTGTTCAAACTTTTCTTTCCATACTCTTTCCAAAAACAAAAAATAGTTCAAACATCTACATATACATCTTTGATAAGCAGAGATGACCAATAAAGTTTAGGAAACTATATAGTAATATTTAAAATATGATAGTCTCAATGTAGGCTGTCCTATTCATATGAAAAGTAGAGAGAAAAATAGACTCAGCATCCTCTTAAGGTCCCTCCCAGTCCTCTAATTCCACAGCAACACATTTAGCATTTAAGGGATTGACTATGTTCACCTTTGCATTTCTGCCATGTCTCTCTCCTGCTGATGGAGTTTCATCCGTAAGGATGTGATTTCTTGCCGACAAAGCCTATATCGTTCAGGGTCAATATTCAGATTGTTTCTCTGAGCAGCTTTTAGCTTTTCAATTTCTGCTTTCAGTTCTAAAGATTTACAAGAAGATGCATGATTAACAACATTTGATATACAATTTCCATAACAGGCGTAATCATCCAACCTTTTATTTCACTTGAAGTTGGAGAAATCAGCTTTGCTTTACTATGATTTATAAATCTCTTCCAGGTCAAAAGTGCTCCCACATGAATAAATCCCCTGAATAATAGGATGAACATATAATGTAGTCTCCAAAGTGGGAAAATTCTGAGGTAAAGAGAGCATTATTAATTATACAGTACTGGGACAACAGACATAAACTGGAATTATCCTAGGCAAACCTTACTTAAAGACACATGGGATAAGTGGGCTTGGTGGCATACCCTTGCCATCCGAGCCTTCTGGAGACCCAACACAGGAGGATCCCTGGTCAAGCTCAGCCTGGTCAATTTAACGACTGTCTCAAAATAAAAAATAAAAAATATAGCTCAATGAGAAAGCTCTGGGTTGAATCCCTCATACATAAAGGAAAAAAAATGACAAAGATGTAAGATTGTTTAAGCTAGATTAAGGAAAACAGCCCCATCAGTAAAACAGAAGAGATTCAAACGGAAAACAACGGACTGTGGTTAGGAAAACTGACTCAACTGATTCCTGTTTCATACCTCTGAAGTGTTTACTGTCTTCAGCTGCTAAAAAGACCCAAAGATTTCTGCACAGAGCTGTGAACACCTGTAATCCTAGCTACTAAGAAAGGAGGGAAAAACAATAAACAGCTCCACTGTTAAGGTTGCTGCACGCACTTAGGACTATAAGTTGTTTTTTATGCTTGTTGTGTCCCCTTTATCTACATTATTTTCTATGGTCTTTGTCTAATTGATTTTCCCCTTAGTAATTATTCTTATTCTCACTGTGCTACCTTTTTTCACCATTGTAGGCTCTCTGGCTAAAATCTATTATAAATAAGTATGGGGGGGTAGTTTTTGCTTCTCTGAAAATTTGCATACTTTAAGAGTGGGATTATAAATAGCTATGGGGAAAATCTTCAATTTTCTTAAAATTATCCATTTTAAGACTAAAATTAGGGGGCTGGGGATTTAGCTCAGCGGCAAAGCGTCTGCCTGGCAAGCGCAAGGTCGTGAGTTCGGTTCCCGGTACCGGAGAAAAACCAAAAAAAAAAAGACTAAAATTAATATGTGAGTCTGATTGGTGGCAAAATAGTTTTTTAATTCTGAGAAAAATATTCACCTCTAATTAACTTCGCATTTATATCCTCATTTACTCTGGCGATGTTGACTATCAGACGAGCTTGGTTAGCATATCTAAGTGTGCTTAATGTTTCTTCTATGTTGCTGGCAGCAGGGCTGATTGTAGCAATCATTGCAGTTTTTGAATTTCCACCTAGACTTTCTTTTAATAACCTTCAAGGAAAAAGTTCATAATTAGACTTTGCTTCTACAACAACCTAATACTAGTTATCTCAAAAGCAAAAAACAAACTAATAAGGTATATAATACAGTGTTATTCTCTTCATTCAAATACCATTTAAAACTTTTTTGGTATTTATAGCTCTTTTGGTGGAAGGGGACGGGATCTTACTGTACAGTTCAGGCTGGCTTGAGCTCACTATGTAGCCCAGGTTGGCCTCCAACTCACAGTGATTCTCCTGCCTCAGGTTCCTGGGTGCTGGGAGTATAGACGTGCACCACCATGCCCAGGTATAGCTATTTTTAGATCTCATAAACACTTTACCTTCTCTTACATCTTTCATATTGTTTCATGAAACGAATAATCTATGCAGATGTTTAAAACATGCTTATCAATCAAAAAATTAGTAAGATATTTCTCCCCCTTAAGAGACTACGGACTACTTCAGAAAAGGGACTATATGTCTTAATCATCTTTACCACAACCTTTTAAGTCAGGTGCTCAATAAATGCTGAAAATCATGATTAGACTTATAAATAAAAATTCTGTGTGGACTATGTGCAAAAGTTTTATTTTAGAGAAAAAAGAATAGAGAGCGTGGAACGAATTTCACTATTCTAACTTTTCAAAGGGAAATAAAACAGATTTTCCCTTACAGGTTTTAAGGGAAGAACTATATTATAATTAAAATTATAATGATTTAATTGTAAATAATTAAAGATTACACATCAGAGCTGAAGCACTGACCCTAAAACATTAGATACTGCCTCAGCTGTGTTACGCAGATTACTCTTTCTGCATATCCTCCTCTCCACATACTGCGGAGGTGATTTCAGACCTCCTACCTAGACCAGCTCACAGACTCACCTACTTCCCACCATTCTCACAGTCATATCCTCAAATTACTCCCTTCTTTCATGAATTAATAAAACCTGGGTTCGGCCCTGGGTCGAGGCCTTTGTTCCAGTTAGCCATTATCGTACCTGAACTTAGGACCCCTCGGCTCCACACAAATACAGATATGCCTTAGTGTCTTTATTCCCACCATGGGTCGCACTGGAAGTGGTAGATTGGAATTAACTCGCTAGAATTCCAATAATTTTTCCATGTGATTACAAATATAAACTTTCTGGACTGCAATGAGGACCAGAAAGTGCTCTCTATACATATTAGAAGTAAAGTGCAGAATACATTCACTAATTAAAATACTTATCAAGCACTTATGTGTTAACCATTGTGTTGCAGAGAAAAAAAAATTATTCAATTTGACTGTATACACAGTAATGTTTGATAATATGAAACATGTTAGACACTAACAGTAATATCTGATATACAGTAATATTTGATAAGAAACATGTTAAGACACTACAGTAATGTTTGATACACGGTAATGTTTAATAATATGAAACATGTTAGATACTAATACAGTAATGTTTGATACACAGTAATGTTTGATAATATGAAACATGTTAGATACTAATACAGTAATATCTGATATACAGTAATATTTGATAAGAAACATGTTAAGACACTACAGTAATGTTTAATAATATGAAACATGTTAGATACTAATACAGTAATGTTTAATACACAGTAATGTTTGATAATATGAAACATGTTAAACACTAATAAAATTAGTTGTTTTAGACTTGTATAGTACATACATGTATTAAAGACTTTTACATTAATAATTTAATCCTCTCTATAATCGTCAAAGATAGGTGTTGACAATAATCCCTATTTTACAAGTGAGGAAACAGGCTAAACTATTAAGTGATTTTTTTCCAGTCACAGAGCTTCTAAGATGGAAAGCTGAGATTCAAACTCAAGATAGTTTGGCTCTGGAATTCATATTACTAAACATTTTTCTCTATCCCAAAGTTGTAGGAAGACAGTTTCTCATTCTGTTCCTCACAGTATTCACTGTACTTTATATAGTTCTTTATAGTTCAAAAGATACTTGCCACGTAAGAACAGATTCACGGTAAGGAATAAAAACTCTCTTTCGGTTTGCTTGTTCAGAAAGTGCAGATATAACTTTTCCCAAAGTTAGTAAGGACTTGTTAATGCTCACACCTTCCTGTATATAAGATAAAAAAAATTTTTTTTCTTAACTTTTGAGCAACAGATTTATTTTACAACATATACTTCTCCCCTAAGATAGTTACAGAGTAAACATTTTTTTTCATAAACTTTCTTATGACTTGAAAGTTATTTTCTCTGAAAAGTAATCATAACCAAAAAGTATGTACTCTGAACCACAACAATAGAGTCTATAAAGAAAGCTACAGCTGAAGATACTTTTTTTGGTCAAGTAATTCAGTTTTCATTCTCATAAAAACAGTGTCCCCTGAGCAGAGGTGCATGCAAAGTGGTCAGATTTACATTTTGATGAGAGGAATCAAAGTGTGTCATGTAGCTATACTGTAGAAACACGCTACTAATTCAGTGGGAGCCTGCCTTATTGCTAATATCTTAATTGTAGAGATCTGGTTACTCTCAGATACATGGCTTAGTGTACTCTGCTGCTTTATGTCTCATTTTAAATTGAGCATTAAGGAAATGCAGTATTGTAATTGTAACTTTGCCAATACTTATATCTAGAGGTCTGTTGCCATTTTTATCTTCAGTGAAATTTTTGTTCCCAAGAAAGGCAGGATTACAATTTTTTTTCTAACAGATTGAGTTGGTGAAGTGTGTTCTTGGTTATCAAAATATTCTTATACCTTTGAGGTTTTGAGTTGGTGAATATTCATGATGTACAGAAAAGCTTGACACACATGGTACAAACTCAGTTACACAAAATGCTATGTTGTGTAAGTACACAATGGGACCTACAAGAAAACATCCAGCTAAGCTGCTTATGACTATGAATGACTGTTCTTTGCTTCTTGTGTTTTTATTTCCTGTAATGCACATATTAACTTTTTAAAAATAAAGATTATTTATTTTAAAACTTAAAAAGAAAAACCCAGTGCCCCCTGGAATTTCATCAAAATGAGAAGAGCAAAGCAGGTGGTGGCCATGGACCCGTAGTCTCAGCTACTTAGGACACTGAAGAAGGAGGATCGCTTAGGTCCAGGGGCTCAGTACCAACCTGAGACGCACAACAAAACCTCATTTAAAAAAGAGAAGAGATTAGTATTTCTTTTACCTTTAGTCGATCTTCACTAGTGTGGGCTGCAGAACAGCGCTCACTGCCTGCCAGGTCTACCAGATTGATGCGGCTTATTATTCTGTGATCATGTTCTTCCCCTTCCACGGTTTCTGTCTACAGCAAAATGATATTAAAATAATTTATGTTCTCCTATGACTTGCCATGAGTAGCAATCTTTAAAAGACAAGCCGGGCGTTGGGGTGCACACCTGTAATCCCAGCACTTGGGAGGCTGAGGCAGGAGGATCATTGCGAGTTCAAGGCCAGCCTGGGCTACAAAGTGAGCTCAAGGCCAGCCTGAACTGCATAGCAAGACCCTGTCTCAAAAAGACAGAAAAAAAAAAAAAGACAAAGTTATACAAGATTGTATATAATTTACTTTTACAACCATTCCTTCTTGTCACCAGGTGTGGTAGCACATGCCTGTAATCCCAGTGCTTGGGAGGCTGACCTCAGGAGAATTGTTGTGAGTTCAAAGCCAGCCTGCTCTACATAGTGAGAGCCTGTCTCAAAAAAACAAAACAAAAACCAAATATAATCCTCCAAAAAACCAAAAATCCCTCCTTTCATATGTAATAATTTATAATGGATAAACACTCAGAGTCTACTGAAGTAAATACAACTGAACAATGGTTGGATTATGCTAAAATTTTAAAAATGACTTTAAAGGGATTAAAATCCATAACTAATTAGTTATATTAAGCAAACAGCTATAAATATAAAGCTTACACAAAGATGTTGCTTATACTCAATATGTTTAAAATCAATGTAAATAATCAACAGCAGAAAAAAACTTGAAGAATTATAATAGCTAGTGAAATACTGCATAACTTTAAAAATTATCTCTGAAATAGTTTTCATGGCATAAAAGTGTTAAGAGATTTTGTGAATTTGTTTAAGTATGATTATAAAGCAACTGAAAGATTACAAAACCAAAAATGTTCATAGGAGTTTGAATAGTACAACCTATGGTTGAATTATTAAAAATCTTTTATTTCCAGATGTTTCCCCAAAGATTCTATAATTACCATATATTATTGATAATATATTATCATCTGCTGATAAATTCATACCAATAATATGATAATCAAACACTGACTTAAATAACAATGATTAGCATGCTGCTATATATGTCAAAAGTTCTTCAAAGTTACTGTGTTTATTTTCTAAAATCCATTTATGTTTGTATGGAGTATAGTTATACAACTATACTTTACAAAAGAAAATAAGTGAAACAAATGTATATACTATCTTACTTATAAAAATAACCAAAAAAAAAAATGTACCTTGGTCTGGGTCATCACCAGGGTAAAAACTGAATGAGAACGGGAGCTTTTATCATTCATACCAGTCGCAGCAGTTGCCCTTTGTTTATTTCCCAGTTCTAGCCAGCTCTAATAAAAAAGGAGGAAGGATGGTCAGGTAGGCAGACTGTAATTTATTGGGAAAAAAAAACTAAGGAGCAATGAAGTTAAGAAAATATATTTGCTTCTTATACACATTTGTAACCCATTTATAATTAGTTTACAAAATAACATTACTGTGTTTATCTTATCTTTTTATAAATTATTAGCTTTGCCTCTTTTTTTCTTTCACAAAAACCTGAATCAGGAAATAATACCCTTAAAAAGCTATTTCTATAACTCAAACTGACATGATGGTTAGTATTTATTTTTAACTCAGAACAGCAATTCTTTTGAATAAAACTCTTAAAAAATCAGTACACAATAAATTAACAAGATTAACCTTACATTTATGCAAACAGCATGAATTAAGGGAAAACATTCTTATAAACATTTATCAGTATGCTCTTTCTATTAAAAAGAAGATAAAATACAATCACTCTTACCTGGATATCGGAGTAAGAACTAATAACATTCCTATGTTTTAAGAAGTAAAAAAACAAAATGAATTTTACTGGTGACTATAATCTTGTTCTCATAAGAAAGTAAACTTCCAATTACATAATTACCCTCTGACAATCACAATAGACCAATTCACAAACATTATAGTAATTCTCCCAGAATCTTTCATTGCATGCACCACTGTACCTGCTCATTTTCCTCTTTTTTAAAGGGCAGGAAATAAAATACTGCTCTAATTGTACCAAAAAGTATGACTTTTCCTAATAAAACACCTTAGCAATATCATAACATTTAAATCTAAATCATAACACCAAAAAATATAGATGTAACACATACATAGATGGACAGGTATCATATGTATGTGTGGATGAAAGTATTTATAGGTTCCCAAAAGAATACCTGACTTATTGAATAGAACTGAATTTATACTGAATCACGTTTTCTTTCCTTTAAGAAAAGCATTTCAAATGTTGAAAATGGAAATGACTCTTGGCATGTGTAAAATTCTTAACACATTGCCTTCTTCCCATTACAGATTAGACAAAAAAAGAAGACTGAGAGGGACATTTTAAATTAATGAGAAGATAAAAGGGTAGAAAATCAAATATTTATTTCATATTCAGTTAATCAATACTCTATGCAGGGCACTTTACAGATGATGTAAAAGATATAAACAAATATAAAAACAAGAAATACTATGCGGAAGAAGAGAGAAAATTTAATTGGATAACTTTAAGGACAGAAAGCTAAATAGTTGTCCAGGGCTTCAGAGAGAATACAACAAGGGTTATGAAAAAGCAAGATTCACTCCAGTGATTTATTTCCTCCTTGCTCTTCCTGAGCCAAACACTTACATTGACAGAGCTTCAACAAATGGTCCAGAAACAGGATGCTCTCTCACTCTCAGCTAGTAGAAACAAATATTACCAGAGTTGAGAGTCGGAAAAATATTTCATGTAATCATTTTTTTCTATATTTTGAGTTTAAGGTAAAGATTTGTCTTTATTTTGTCCAGAAATACAAAGATTCTCACAAAAATAAATCTGTAAGAAATAGCTTCACCATCAAGAACTATAGTTGCACAATATGTAACAATATACTACCCATCAAATGTTACTAGTTTTTTATTCTTAAGTTAAATCCTGTGATAGCTATTGTTTTGTATGCCTCTAAATCGCTCTAAAACATTCATTAAATTTCATTCATTTGTTTTCTTTCATTTTTGTTTACATTTAAACTTTGTGCCAAGAAACTCTAAAACACATAGAAGTCATAGAAGAAAACATCATTTTGTAAGTTTCTGACACTGCCAATAGTAAACTGCCTGGTATTGGGCAAGTGTGGTAACTTTAGATTCTCTCATTTATTCTTCTGAAAGGTCCTTTGTGAAATTTTAAAAATATAATAGTTTTTTCAAAAGCTTAAATCAATTTTGTAGGTTATCTACAAAATATAATTTTGCTAAACAATTCACTAAAATATTTATTATAAAAAAAACTTGAAAACATTTACTGTTTTTGGCTTACAGATTTGAGATTTTGGGTTTGATTTAGGTAATCCAACTAAGTCAGAACAATTATTTCATTTTTAATTTTTGCACATACTGTACTTGATTAAAATAAAGACATTAAATCTTAACCAATTTAATTTTCACCAATGATAATGTTCAGCTTATTTTCTAAATAACAGTGTAGTAAAATGTATATCCCAAGCCTTTGCTGTTAAGTAAAAGCATTTTAGTAAAATGTTAAGCTTTACTATTCAAAGAACTCAGATAATTATACATATTTATAAAAAGAGAAATTGAATACAAAAATGATAAATTGTTTTAATCTTACTGGTTGCTTTCTCTGACCATTTTCACCTTTACAAACCAGAAGGTCATGAATTTTTTCATTATATACTTCAAAGAAGCTCATTTCAAAATGATAGCTGACCTAGTAGAAATAGAAATTAGAATTCAATTTATTTTAAAATTCTTTGCATGTTTTACAATCATGTATCTGGCAGGGGTCTAGTATTTGAAATATATAAAGAACTCTTATCACTCAACAACAAAAAGATAACACGTTTTAAAAATAAGGAAAAGACTTGAATAGATATTTCTCAAAGAAGATATGAAGTGGCAAATAAGCACTTAACAATTCTCAACATCATTTGTCACTAGGGAAATGGAAATCAAAACCACAAGGAGAACTCACTTTGTATTCACTACCATGGGATAGTTGTAATCCAAAAATAAATAAATAAGGAAAACATTAAGCGTTGATGTGGATATAGAGAAATCAGAACCTTCTTACACTGCAGGTAGAAATCCAAAATGGTGGCATTACTGTGGAAAATGTTTGGCAGCTTCTCAAAAGGTTAAACACATATTTACATGTGTCCTATTTTTATGCATCCAAGAAAAATGAGAATAGGCATTCAAACAAAGGTTTATACACCAACGTTTATAGTAGCTCTATTCACAAAAAAGTAAAAACAAACCATACCACTGGTTTATGTTAACCATATACTGGTATAGTCATACCAGTAGATATTAACCATATCGTTACATACAGTTAACCATGTACTGGTATAGTCATACCAGTGGATATTAATCGGCTATAAAAGGTAGATATTAATCAATAGATATTAATCAGCTGTAAAAAGAAATGAAATAATCACAACATACTACAACATGGAAGAATCTCCAAGACATTATGCTAAATGAAAGAAGCCAGACACAAAAGGTAACATCTTGCGCAATTTCAGTATTTGAAGTATCTAAAATAGGTAAATTCATGGAGACATACAGCGCATTAGTAGTTGCCAGAGCTTAGGGAAAAGAGGGAATAGTTGTAACTACTTAATAGGCAGACCTTGAACTTGCAATCTTCCTGCCTTAATCTCCCAAGTAGCTGGGATTACAGGTATACACCACCATGCCTGAATCAGGGCTCTTTTTCTTTTTTTTAATGTTATTTTCCTGCTTAAAATCTTTCCCTAGCATTCTAGATTTCTAGGGGCTTGATTTATGAAGTCATTCATGAGCCAAGTTCTGTCTGCCTCTCTGGATTCATTTCCGGTCACTCTCCACTTTCAAATTCCACGCTTAAAACAAAGTAAACAATTTATGGTTTCTCAAGGGCTCCTCATTTCCTTGGTTTCAAATCTTAATGCTGCTCCTTTTGACTGGAATGTTTTCTTCCCCTCTTTTTTCCCAAGGTAATAATTGATATATTCTTCAAAAACAAGCTCAGTCACTCCCTTTTCAAAGAAAACCTGTCTCCCTCCAACCTTACATATTTCTTACTTTCTTACTTGCAGTGGTTTGAATATGTCCCACAAAAGATCAGATGTTGGAAACGTAATCTTCAAATTCATGTCATTATGGTGATGCTATTTGGAAGTGGGACTGTGGAGGGAAGTGAGGGTTAAATAAGGTCCTGATGGTGTGACTCCCACGACAGGATTAATGGATTTACAAGAAGAGAACTGTGCTTGACCTGCCTTCTTGTCATTTAATCCCGTCTGGCATTTAATGTAACAAGAACATCCCTACCTGATATAAGTGCCTTGATACTAGACTTCCAAGCTTCCAGTACAGTGAGAAATGTTTTTCTTTTATAAATTTTGCAGTCTGTGGTATTTTGCTATAGCAACAAAAAAAGGACTAAGACAATGTTATATCACAGTATTTTCTTGAATTTATTTAGCATTTAACTGACTGTATTTGCCTGTTTACTGGCCCATTTCTCTTTTGTATTATCTTGACTATAAAGATTATGTCTTCTAATCCTGCAATCCAAATTTAGCACAATATTTTCAATTTTCCTTATGAAAGTATAAAAATTATAAATTCCCAGGCTATACTCTAAAACAACTAAGAATCTCCAGAAAACATTTTTGGCAGGTGTGCATATATGTAAACACATACACACCCACAAACACAGACATATACCCACAGCCCCCTTCCCCCAACACACATGCTCATACCTGCCCCTGCCATGTCCCTGGTGATTTTTATGATCAAGCAAAGTCTAATAGACTGCCTGGCAACACCAGATGCTCATTAAATTCTTGCTGAACATAAGAATGAATAAGTGAAAAAGCACCAGATACGGTCCAGGTGTGCTAGAGCTGAAAAAGTATGCTTTTAGGTTGAATCTGGGTTCAAACTTCAGCTTCTCTACTGTTTCTGCTTTGCATTGTCCAAGAATTTGCCTGCTGTCCTTACTTAAGTCTGTGCACCTGACTGACTGCAGAGACCACACGTGAGCTACTACAGATACACCAAGAAACAAAACAAAGGTGGAGAAGACAGAAGAGATAATGCATCTATCACCACATCCACTCGCAAAAATTGCTTCTGAATTTAGAATCCTCATCCTCCCTCTCTGCATCACTTTTTGAAAAGACAGTGATCTACAAATGAGAACAGTATCGTTTACATCTCATATTAGCTAGTTCCTTGGTAGTCATAACTCTGATTTGAATTTGAGCATACCTCTTGGGTTTGTTTTTTGGCTACTTGAGCAAAAAGATCTTCACAAAATCTTGGAATTATTCCTGGTTCTTCACTAAATCCCATCATCCTGAAAAATATATTATGAATAAGAGGGAAGTAACACTAATTAGTTTGGGGGATATAAAGAATTCTTTTTGGAAAAATGCGTTGCAGAGGAAAGAGAACAAGTGAATTAAAGATCACAGTTAATATCTAAGAATCAGGGTACTAGAGCTAAATCCAACTAAATCTAAATCTTAATTCTACCAATTATTAGCTGTGTGACCTTGGGCAAGATACTTAACCTCATTAAACCTCAATCTCTTCTTCTTCTGTAAAATTAGAATAATAGAAATATCTAATTCAGAGGGTTGTGGTGAGAAAGTACTGCGAAAACCTTGGGCACAGTGCCTAAAATGTAGTAAGCACGCAGTAAATGTTAGCTACTATTAAAATTTCACATAGTTCCTTCTAGGGTAGGTATTATCACAGCTACCATTTATCAGATGCCCTTCTTTTCAATATTTTTTACATTGTTAATTGACACAGAGTAATTGTACATATTCATGGGGTACAGTGATACATTTCAGTACATGTATACAATGTATCATGGTCAGATCAGGATAATTAGCACATCCTTTACCTCAGACATTCTCTTTAGCTATTTTGAAATATACAATCAATTATTGTCAGCCACAGTTATGCTAATATGCTACAAGTTGTCTCACTTTTTAAAAAACTGTTTTATATATAGGAATTTTTTAATACAGCTAGGTACTTATATAAAGCAAGTGTACATGAACACTGTCTACTTGATAAACAAGTGGCCCAAAATTCTATCCAGGTTCATGTCCAGTAAGTTAACAGATACTCACACAGGTCGACACAGGAAAAATGTAAGTTCCCAAGATCTGCCAAACACTAGACAGAGACTAAGATGCCTTACTTCTAATTATCACAATAACACTTAATAGTTATCATACTTGTAATACTTGTGAGTAAAATTCAGCTTACACAAGAAATATTAATTATAGTAAAATGGAGCCAATGATACATTATCTCATATGTAAACTGGAAGAAAGAGGTTAAGTTATTCCTACATTTGCACAACACAGTATATAACAGATCTATGTGGTTTCAAAACTATGTTCTATCAACCATGCTGCCTCTCACACAAAAAAGTAAGCATTTCTGGATAGCTGTATGTATAATACAACTTACGTGTATGACTTTCCAGAGCCAGTCTGACCATAAGCAAAGAGACAGGTGTTGTAGCCTTCAAAGGCTCTTTCTAGAAGTGGTGCTGCCAATGTCTCATAGACAGTCACCTGGCTAGCGTAGTGAGGATGACACTGATCAAAAGACCAGAATGAAACATCATAAATGAAACTATAAACTTGCTTCATGTCAGGATGTTCCACGATTATTTCTTCCCCGTTCATGAAGACCACCTGAGATGCCTTTTCAATCTTCTCTCTTTATAAAGAAGCATAAGGGAAAAGTTAAGTTGTAATTATTGTGGGTGCTATTCCCACAAAATATAACAAGAACCTCAAAAGAAGCTAAGCCTACCATTCCTTCAAGGCAACATAGTTATTTAATTTTATGTGGAAAACTAGGAAATGCAATTTAGGTGGGTTTCTAAAATATGTTTCCCATAGCTCTCATACCATTACTCCAGAAGGAAATGGAGTTTCAGATTTCTTGTCCAGAAAACCTAAACTACTTGGACAATATTCTCCCTGTTTTTGTGGGAAAAAGGTATACCTTTTCCCATCCCACCTACTATAATCTACCTACATACTTTATTCAAATCTGGAACTATCTTTATTGCAAAGTTCAGAGGTACATCTCTATATAAACCAGGCATAAAATACAAATACAATTTCAATTAACTCAGTGCAATATAAATTTAAATCATAAACTTATTTTGGCTACTAGCTATTTATACTGTTAATCTAAAAGTCTCTCCTTCCACTAGATTTTTTACCTTACAAATTACAAATCTTCAATTTTTTTTAGTTTTTTTCCTCATCCTTCTTCCATCTCAAACTTAGGCAGTAATCTTTTACTTTAGATCTGCAGAAAAACATTATCATTCCTTTTCTGGGCCCAGATGTCAGCCCCTGCCCAATTCTTCCACCCCCGCAAGCCCACCCATACCCTAAGAAGCTGCTCTAAATCATAATTTATCCTGGAAATCCCTTGCCTCATCAATTTGACAAGTGCCATTTCAGGGATTGTCTGATGAGTCTAAAACCTGGCAATTGGTAGTTAACTAAGTTCTCTTCAGTAGAGTCATCCATCTAGTGTTTTACTCCTACCAACTCTGTTCTATTAACTCTTCTCCTTTCATGGTCCTGGAGGCAAAGAAGCTAGGCTTTGCAAGTTAAGTTAGGCTTCCTGACATTTTCACACTGACTCAACCTCAGTTCTCCCTCTTAGTACTAAAACATTTCACTAAGAAGTCCTTACCCCACTGTGTAGCTTGCCCTTAACTGCTCACTCTCTCCACCTTCAAACTGGAGGTTCCTTCCACAAAGCAGTGGTCACCACATCCACTTTGAACTTGCTTACATAGCATCAACTTAAAAACTACTGACCCTCTAAAGTTTTTACTGTCTTCCCTTAAAATATTTTTAACATAAATAAATTCCACCTTCACATTTGATTATATCCATCTTTTTCAACTCTTTCCAATCTGTGACTATATCCACAATCACCTTTTATTTAAAAAAAAGTTTTCCCCACAATCACCTTTGGAGAAGTTTTCATGCACCAAAATCAAACTAATAAATCACTATTTTTTAATGACAGACAATGGTGCTGATGATCACCACTCTGTAAAGGGTTTAGGAAAGACACCTTTGGAAAATGAGTAGGTTGTTGTAGATGTTTTAGTGTGTGTGTGGTAGTGGTAGTGGGGATTGAACCTAGGAATTTAGTACTGAGCTATACTCCAGCCCCTTACTTTTAATTTTGAGACAGGGTTTTTCTAAGTTTCTCAGGCTAGCCTCAAACCTGCAATCTCCTGTCTCAGCCTCTCAAGTAGCTGGGACTATAGGTGTACAATACTGCACCTGGAAGTTATGGCTCTTTTTAAAGGATTCATTTTTAAAGAAGTTCCTACCATACATCATAGATTGAAAGCAGACTGTTTTATAGAATTAAGTGACTCCTAATATATCCAGAGAACCATACGTATAAAAAAATAGCAATTACATTTTTATAGCTAATCATTGTTTCTGATTTGAAAATCTTCCCAACAAGCTTGAAAACACATGAGTACTTTCTAAAAGCAGAGAGGAATTAAACACACATTACATGGTACTACCTTGGCCTTAAATTTAAAATATATAACATACCTTTTGCTGAAAGGCCTTACACGTACTGCCACAGTTACTTGACTATTCTCTATTTTTAGGAAGTCTGTTTCTATAGAGGTGTTCTGAACTTCAGTTTCTTGAATAGGGAGTGTATTTTTTTGAGAAATTTCCCTTTTACTTGAAAGAAGAGAACTTTTTGGCCTTTGTTTAACTTGAAGGCTAGGCGTCCTATTTTTCAGTATCGATGTACCTGAGCTCTTGAGCTGAGGCAGGTCATGCTTCGGTGTCGATTTGTATTCTGTCATACATTTCACAGGGTTTCTTTTGTCTAAACTTCCAAATTTACTTGAATTTTTTGCAATGTCCTTCCCAGTACTAGGATGTAAGTTTCCTGTTCCAGACACTTTGATATTCAAGTTACTCTGGATAGGTTTTGCTGCCAGTGGTCCTGGTCCACCAGCCTCCCTCTGATCCTGGGAACCCACAAGTGTGCTACTGCTTGAGTGCTTAAGCGTATTTTCATTTGCCCCACTGGGGGCAGAAAATGTTTTATATTTCTGATCAACCATTAACATAGCGTCTTTTGAGTCTTCAGCTATCTGTGTAGAAGATGTAACAAAAGAATTTTTATTGTTATTTACAAACTTTACATTTGTCCTAGTTCTCTGTGAAGCACAATTACTTTCTGTTTCACTTCCCACATCCTGCCGTGTTTTCCACTTCGCAACAGAATCTGCTTTAGCTGTTTTCCACTTTTCTACAGAAACTGTTTTAGCACGACGCTGTAGAGTAAGACTTGCTTCAGCTGTCTTTTCAGTTGTGTCTCTAGACTCACTACTAAGTAAAGAGGATTCTTTGTTTCTTGTAGCTCTTCTCTGAAGTGTCAATCTCTCTGTAGGGTTAATGGTAAGGGGCATATCTCCTGTTGTTTTACAGGCAGAAATAACATAAGTGCTATTTAAGTCTCTGATTGTACGTGCAGATCTCAATAATGAATCACCCTTTTCATATTCTGACATCTCTGACTTCAAAGGAAACTTGAATCGGCTACTGTGGGTGAGGGTACTCAGTGATGAACTCTTTTGGGAAGAAGGAACTTCCAGGAAATCACGGTTACTTCTATTATGAATAGTGTGTGCTGACATTTTGGCAGCAAGTTCTTCTTAAAAGAATGTTAAGAACCTAAACTCTTCTTTGGATCTTCATTTGATTTCCAGCCATTTCATATACATGTTTCCCAACATATCTGCTGAACACACACATACACAAAAACAGATTGCAGATTACAAACATGCTTGGCGGGCAACCCACTTTCCAGGGCCTCCTCTGTCCCTCTCAGATAGAAACTCTCTTTCTTGCAATAATTTATTTCTTCCTACTCTTAAAAAACAGAGTGCTTCAAAAATATTGAGAATCTCCTACTGTAAAAGTAAGTTCTCCGAGGTATACGTTAGAATAAATCACAATCTCCAGCTCAGATATCACTTCCAAGCAGCTTCTGACAAATCTCTGTCCTCAAAAGGCTTCCAGTGACTCCTGAACAATTATTTATTTGAGTGATCTATTGTATGCCGGGCTCTGTGATTCATGCTATGGACTTCAAAGACAAGATCCTTGTTCCTATTTCTTTAGTCTAGAAGGAATGAAGATACAAATAAGCTTGAGAGCAGATAAAATGCGCCAAGTGGCTTAAGCAATGTTAAAAAGTGAATGTCAGTATACAGATAATTGTTTTTAATACTCCCAGCTTGGGGAGTAGGAAGAAAGACTAGAGGAAATCTTGGCACCTAAATCAGAGTCGAGAGCAAAGCATTTTTATAAATACCTGTTTAGTTGCATGTTGAATACAGAAATTAAATAGATGTCACAAGACAGATTATTCCCAAATAATTACCGTAGATATTAAATACTTTTAATATAATTGCTTGTGTCGAGAAAAATTATGAAAGATTAGAAAAGAAGATAACCTGCCCTTTATCAGACAATAAGCTAGACAAAGGTGTATGCAAATATAATCCCAACATTATCCACCAGGTGTTATAATTTAAAAGAAAGAGAACAACAGTGATAGCTAAGAGAATTAGCTTTCAGTCAAATATGCATCAAACTTCTTACATGGATGTAAACAAGTCTTTAAATTTGCATGTCTAACTTGTAAATGATACTGGCTCAAACTATTCCGGAGATTATTGCTACTGAAGTACAAATCAATAAAAGCTCCTCTTTAAAAGAGTCTTTTAAAGTCTTACAAAAATAAAACAAACATCATTATAAAAAATGGTCAGCATTCATAAGCATCTCTTGTCAAACCTTCAGCAAAAGTATATAATTTTTCTATTATAAAGTGAATTTAAAGGCAAAATACATTCTGGAAATGCTGCAGTTCAAACCATTTGCTAGTTACACAAAACAGTATGGTTCTTGCAGAGTTTTGCCATCAGATTTGAAAGAGGACTGGAAAGAATACACGAAAAGTAAGTCACAACTCAAACCAGAACACCCGCAGGTTGTGTTTTCCTCATCTAGTCATTACCGGGGTTGGGGCAAATAAGGTACCTCTCTCTCAAAGCCAACCGACTCCGCCCGACTTCGGGGGGTAGGCGGGACCCAGCGGCCCTGAGGTCCGGCTTCCGGGTCGGGACAGAGTTGCTGCCCTGAGCCCTTCTTCCAGGGACCCCTTTGCAGCCGACCCGGAGTTCAGGAGACAGAAGCGGGGTCCTGAGCTAAGGCCACTCGCTCGCGCCCGCAGCGGAAGGCCGTAGGGGAAGGATCCGCACGCACTCCCTCACACTGGTACTTCGGCCCCAGCGGGGTCTGCCACCTCGGGGATCCCCCGGAGACTACCCTCCAGTCACTCACCTACCTCAGCGCCGGCTCCCGCCGTGGCCGCAATTTGAATGGGCGCCTCGCCTTCTGATTGGCTGCTTGACGTGGCGTCCTGCGCCGCGCCCTCACTTCCTCCCGCCCCCGCCCCCGCCCCCGGAAGCGCCGGTGGTTGGGTCCCGCCCTCATCAGCCTGGCAACCGTGGGGCGCTGGCCTGCGCACCTTCGCATCCTACAGAAAGGCGCGCGGGAATGAACCGCAGGTTGCACCTCGCTAAAACGGATTTTAAAGAAGAAGAGGGATAGTGACAGTCGTGTGGACCCCTGATGAAAAGAAGCATAAATTCCGTCTTACAGTCGAAGACTTAACATTGTAAATGATTATTACGTTTCCTGATGTTAACCATAACAATACTTGGCTAGTATTTCCTATGCAAGGCGTATGGTGGGAAACGTAAGAAATACCTCACCCCATTTTTTGTTTGTTTTCTTAGTTTTGAAAATTTTGTAAGTATCGATATTATCCCCAGTTTACTGAAGAGGAACTGAGGTTTAGAGTAAATACACTTGTGAAAGATCGGACAGCCAGCAGGTGGCTTGACTAGAAGTCAAGCTATGACTCAAGTTGATGTCATACAATTTAATTCCGTTTCAATAAATTTTCCAATAATACTTTGAAACAAGAAAAACATACTTTCTGAAAAACAACAATTCCCCGTGAAGTACTCTAGCCAAATACATACTCTAAAGCAATATTTTAATGGGCAAAAAAATGCAAGTAATGGAAATTATTCAGTGGGATAGAAAAGGAAATCAGAAGAAGCTTCAATGACATAAAAAATAGAATGGATGATAAAGTAGTCATTCTAAAACGCACTCTAAAAGTTTTTCCAAAATTGTATTAAAATTTAGTTATAAAGATACCGTCAGAAAATATATGGCAGATGTATTGGGGAAATATTAATTCAGTTTAGAAACAAAAGAGGATATAACAAAGAAAAAATCAAAAACATAATTTTAATTTATGTATGATTAAAAATAATAAAAGTAGAATGTAAGACAACTGGGAAATGTAATAAATATTGAAAGAGATGTAAAGGTCTTTCAATTTTATAAGGAAAATAAATGTATAGACTATAAAATGACTAATGATACACCACACAAAAATGATTCGCATACATACAAAAATACTTGATATAAAAAGAGTGCAAACACCCAAACATTAAACATAAGTTTTTTTTAAATGTTCACATAAAAAACTTCTTTTTCATTTTAGTGCTGGTGATTATGCACCAGAACTAAAAGCATACATTTTTGTGGAGTATCTGGAGTATTCTTGAGGACAGACACCTATCTGTTCATGGTTTATCCCCGCTGCTTAATATGAGTGTTGGTGTATAGCAGATGCTCAATAAATATTTTTGAGTAACTAACAAACTCTTCTACAAAGCAGTATAATAATATATTGAAAGAAACAAAAGACATTCATACCATTTGACCTAGACATTTCATAAGAAAATATTTTAGTAGAAACCAAAAAGTTCACCAGAATATTCTTACTCACTCCAAAGTGAAAGAAATCTAAATGTCTAACCATAAGAGAACACTGTGTTTAAAAACCAGAAAGAATAACAAATTATGTTACAATTAATGTATCCATTTAAATTATACAGTAACTGTAAGTTAAGCAGGATTAGGCAATGCTTGGTCCACAGATGGAGCCCTAATCTGCCCGCCAGATTTCAAGCTCAAGGTGAAGTGAGGCCTAGTCTATCTCATCCTACTCTCCCTGGTAACTGGCAATGAGTCTTTATAGGACCTTCACAAAACACTACCTATACTACCCCTCCTTTTTTCTTCTCTATCAGAAACTTTTGATTTAATTCTACCCATGGGATTAATATTCCACACAGTCAGAGGTGACTTGTGAGCCACCTCCAGGTTGACTAAGAGGGATTTTAATCTCTTAGTGAGTTATAAGTTGAGATGGCCCTTTTCTCTGTAGATCCTGTTCAAAGCTGGCTAGCAGAGAAAGTCACTTAACTGTGGAGTGGCTCAAGTTCCTCAGCTAGAATTGCGGATGATAATGCTGCCTATCGGGAAGAGACATAGTGGGGACTGAATTGGGTAATGTACGAAAAGTGCTTAGCATAGTACTGGCACAGAATTAATGCTCAATAAATGTCACCTACTAAATTGCATCACCTGATGTAACTCTCCAAAGCACTGAAAAGCCCCATTCAAGACTAATGCTGAGAAATTGTGAGCTCTCTATTATAATGATAACACACATTTTATGAAAAAATGAGGATTATGTCTAATCCCTAGAAATAACCAACAAGGTGAAATATTGAGTCCTTTTGTAATGGCCTCAAAACAAGGACAGAACAATGAACTTGTTAGCTTAGTACAAAGGTTCTTAGTTGAATCCTCAGCACTGCATAAAGAGCAGTATTAATCTTGGTTTTGCTTCAATTTGATTAAATTTTTAATTAATGTAGACCCTGTGTGCTTTTGGGTTTTTTTTAAGGAGAAAGAGAAAAGAGAGTCTAGGAAATGCAGGTTTGTCCAGGACAAGATTTTTAGGGTAAACAACCTGTCACTTCTCAATTCATTTTAGGCCTTGGTCCTTCTGAAGCAGTGTCCAGCATGCCGCCTTTGGGGAGCCTTCTCTAACACCTAAAATCATCAGGCAACATCAGAGCTCTGCTCCCCCAGGTAGGCAGAGGGAGTAAGGTGGCATATACCTGAAGTACCAGAATTCTGGGAGGCTGAGGCAGGAGGATCACAAGTTTAAGCTCATAGTGGACAACTTAGTGATTTAGTGAGACCGTGTGTCAGCATGAAAAAAGGTTTGGGGAGGTAGATCAGTACAAAGGTTCTTAGTTCAACCCTCAGCACCACATAAATAAATAGCCCTACATTTTCAAGTCTGTTTTCAAGTGTGACTCATTAAAATATTAGTTCCTTTAGCAGATTAGAGTCAAGGATCTGCATGTCATTCAAATTATTTTATTCCTATGACCCTGGCTTCTTTGCTTCTTCTTTTCTATTTAGCTTTTATTTCATAAGTACAAACTTAACTGTGCAATCCAAATAAACTTGGAGTAGAATAAGGAAAACATGGAACCTGAAGAACTACAGCCAGAGCACAAAGATGATAGGATATTGCAAGCAGAGGAGCTGTGAGGGTGCTTGCATGAGCTACCAAAGGAATGGTCCAGGGGTTAAGATAAATGCAAATTCAAACTATTAGAACTGTCCACAGCTGGAAAAGACATTCTTCTTTCTGGTTTTGACTTTTATGGCCCCAACATGCACCATGGGATCCACAACGTTCTTGTCCTCCTTCACGTTCCCAAAGGACCAGGCTTGGTGATGCAGGTTAAGAACTGAGAATCACTGGCATTCACTCCAGCATTTGTCATGGCCAAGATGCCAGAACCTATGTGCTCCAGGATGGAGTTATCATCAAATTTCTCTCCATATGTAGACTCCATATTAGTGCCTCTGTGGCACATAAACCACTACCACCTGCCACATACATCCTGGAAGAATTCTGTGATATCAGAAACCCTTATCATTAAATGTTCTCTCTCCAGTGCTCACAGCTGGTTTTGCAGTCAAATGCTCTACCACTGAGCTACATGCCCTCACAGCTGGTTTTGGAACTTTGTCCACAGGCATCTCAATGGAGACACAGCCCAAGGGTTGGCCTGTGATACTCAAATGTTAAAGACCCAGGTGGGCTGACCATGGCTGGCAGCAGGCAGTATCAAGCAACAGTGGGGTCTGCAAAGCTCACCCTTGGCTTCTCTGCCTATAAGATGAGGAGAAAATACATTGATGAACATCAGTGATTGCTAGAGAAATCAAATTGGGAACATGGGAAACACTTTTCTCTGCAGTATTGAGGCTTGAACTCAAGGCCCTCATGTGAGCTTCATTACCAGCACCACCCCTCTTTTTGACACAGGGTCTCACTAAATCATTGAGTTGTCCAGATGAGGCTTAAACTTGTGATCCTCCTACCTTAACCTTCCAGAGTACTGGGATTATAGGCATGTATCACCACACCCAGCTATGTGAAATAATATTTTAAAAGGTGTATTACTGTCTATAAATTTAGGTAGTCATATGTCTTAACTGTATACAGTTAATTCTCAAATATCTGTAGGTACTAAAACAGGTCATGTATATAAAAATGGATAATGTATATGAGCCTTAGCACACTGCATACAACATAAAGACTCCATAGGTTGGGACAAAATCAGACCCAGTCCTATTTTCAATCAATTACAATAACTCTATAAATAGTTTTTTCTTCATTTCCATAGTCACCACCTGCTGAAAACTTACCTTCATTAAGCACTTGCTTAGTTCTGGCCTCAGGAGGTGTCCCTCCTGCCCCGTAGGACCAGGTGTGCAGCTGTGTCCTGATTTACCTTCCCCACTGCCCCAGTAACTTCCCTCCATCAGGTTTTTCCTGTCTTCCTCCATCTTCAGCATCTCTCTCATCTGAAACATATAAGGGAAGATGCCCACCCCAACCCCCCCTTGCTCTCTAGCTACAGCTGTGGCTCATTCTCTCACTTCATGTTCATGCTGCCCCTAAAGAGGGGTGCACTGAGTCTAGAGGGGTGGGGGCACTTTGGGTTCATGCAGGAGAGGCTGGTCAAGGCTGTTAGCCTGAGCAGGTGTAAGCAGTAGAAGCCAGGAAACACCAGACTGTGCCCTAAAGAAAATGCCGAGAAGTGAAAACTGTCGTTTAAAAACAAGTGGGCTCACACCTGTAACCCCAGCACTCAGGAGGCTGAGGCAGGAGGATCTTTGCAAGTTTGAGACCAGCCTGGGCTACAAAGTGAGCTCAAAAACCAACCTGAACTACATAGTGAGGCCCTGTCTCAAAAAGACCAAAAAAAAAGTGGGAAGTGGAGACTAGTAAGGTCCAAAATAATCAGGGTCCCAGTAAACTCACAAATGGAGCTAAAGGAGGAGAATCAAGGTAGCGGTGTACAAATGTTGGGACATTTCTCATGAACACTGCTGAGATTCCATTCACAGCTGTTCTACTGGACACTGAACTCCAGGCACATGGTTGGTTCAAGGACAGGAGAC